TATCTTGATTTTCACTGGTTTCTGAGAAAATAAATGTCAAACTTAGGCTTGCATAAACAACCACAAAAAATCTATCGCATATTCGAAAAAATCGTAACGGTAACCTGACGATGACTGAAAATCGAAACTTTTTCCGCAGATCGACCGCACTTCTCCCTATAGAATGCACTCAAAAGCAAATCTCGAGTTTTACAGATTTATGAAAAAATTATTATCAACTTTAGGTCTGCTTAATCAACCGCAAATTTCTATCGCATATTTTTTATTCGGAAAAATTACTTTTATTCGGAAAAAAAATTACATGAAAATGGGCAAAAATCAAAGAGTTTTCCACCTACAGAACACACTTTATCCTACAAATGTGGTATAGAAGTAACTGTCCAATTGTGCTAGTTTTTGAGCAAATAAAAGTCAAATTCCCACCTGCTTAAATATTCGCGAAAACAACACGCAACTGATTGAAAAATTTTTGAAAATTTTCTGATGATGACTGAAAATCGAAACTTTTGACACTTAGAGAACAAGCTTTTCCCCACTGAATTCATACAAAAGTCACGCTTTGACTTGGTTAGTGTCTGAATAAATAAATGCCAAACTGCGGATTTTTGAAAAATCATCAAAAATGCCTGGTGATGACTAAGAACGTCGGCGTTCTCAGGCAACCGACACCACCAACCGAAACGTTGCGATAAAAACATCTCTGTATGACAATGGCAATGAAAGTGACACCAGTCCAGTGTATCACCTCTGAGGATGCCAGTCACTCTTGCTTGCGAAACGTCGACTGCCCAAAAAACGCATCAGTTTCAATTACGTGCCTGTTGATATTGGGAAAATTTCAATCATCATTGGGATATTCTATTAAGCTTTTGAATGCACCATTCACTCGGCAATCAGATTCACTTGGTATTGAACCGGCACACGATTGCCACACTTAAATAGACTAAAAACTGAATTGCGAAACAAGAGTGGCCGAAATGAAAAATCGAGCTGCGATGCTTTAACCTTAACAAGTCATTCTTAATTACACTTGAAAACAAATTATGATCCATTTTCACTGAATTAATCTGAAATAACGCTTAAGCTACTAATTCATTAGTTTCAACATCAGTTTCAATTAGTAATCTATAAGTAGCGCTTTTTTCGTGTTTTAAAGGTCGCCTTTTTCGGCACCAGAAGATTGATCTCTTCTTACAGTCCAGCGAGAGAAAAGTGGCGGTTGCAGCAAAACCCCACCAAATTTTCATGATTTTTTTCCAATCATCATCGACCGTTCAGTGAGTTAAAATGCACAATTTTTGCCAATTATTATTAGTTAATTAAACCGATAGAATCGAGGTGGCCTAAACAAATGCACCGCCTTATAGCGAATCTCCTCTTATAAAATCAACTCGCTGGCGATCCGCGGCCTGCTTATAATAACTGTTTATCGCCATCCGCAATTCATTCATTCACTTGTTTTCTTCTGCAACTTTCGACAATCAAATATCTAGTCGGCCGAGACTGTGAGAAACGACAAATTGTTCGCTGCGCGTTTTTTTTTTCTCTTCTGTGGACGGTGATTTTTGGGCATTTGGTTTGTGTGATTAGCGCAATTGAACTTGGACTAATAAATTATGGCTGATGTCAAAGGTAAGACAATTTTCCTTGTTTTTTAGTCATTTTTTCCCTGTGTAAGTCAAGCACTTTTAGAAGAAGAATCAATGTGTTTCAATTGTTTTTCTCAGAATTTTTATTGATGTTTTGCGGCGCAATTGAAGCATTTTTCGAGCAGTTTTTCGATTCGTTCTCTTTTCGTTTATGATTTTTATTATTTCCTGATTTCTTGCGCCGTTTGTTCTGAAGTAGAAATCACTTTCAACGCGAATCTGAACAACTGCATTATATTTTCAAGTTGTTTTTTAATGTGTTTCGATTATTTTTCTATGAAAAGCACTCGAAAATCGATAGATCAATACGTAATCCCTTCTGTAATGTCTGTGCAAACATCGATCAGTCCGTTAAAGCACTTCAAATAGTGAATTATCTGGAGAAAATTCAACAGCGTTTTGTTTGCTTGCTCCGGATTTTATTTATACTAAATTCAATTTTTATTGAATTTTCATGAAATTTATTATTCATCCATTTTTGGTTTCGATTTTCGCTGATCATCAGGCCATTTTCTGCGATTTTCCAAAATTGCGTTTGGTTTTCGAGGTTGTTTTGCAGGCCGCAGTTTATTATATATTTATTTACTCAGGAATCAACCGAGTGAAAAATTCGCTTTTGTATGGATTCGGTGGATAAAAATCTGTTCTTTAAGCCGCAAAAGCTTATAGTTTCAGTAACTTTCGGAAAATTTTCTAGAATTTTTCTAGTAAACGACATTCAGATTTTCGTGGATATTTAATTAAGCCGGTAGTTTGGCATTTATTTGCTCAAAAACTTGCAAAGTTAAACAGTCCTTTTTGTATCACTATCACAGGCCAATGTAGGTTTTATCCTTGAAAAACATTTCGCTTTCTAATCATCTTCAGAAAATTTTTGATATTTAAAGAACTTTGCCATATAATTTTGCGGTTGTTTTAGCAGACCTAAAGTTGACATTTATTTTTGCAGAAAATAGTGACAGTGAAAATTTACCTTTGGCTTCTTTTTCTAGAGTAAGGTACATTCTATTTGCGCAAAAAGTTTCGAATTTCAGCCATCATCAGGCTATTGTCAAGATTTTTTCGAATTTCCGACAGAGTTTTTGTGGTTATTAATGAAGGCCTAAGTTTGAAATTTATTTTCTCAAAAACCAGTAAAACTGGGCATGCAGTTTTATATGCATTTTGTAGGGCAAGATGCGTTCTATTTGCGGAACAGGTTTCATTTCTGAGTCATCCTCAGGCTATTTCCTATGTACTGAATTGTACCAAAACTCTCCGAAAAATCGTCTTCATTATTTTCGTCCACTTTCAACTGCGTGTTGCTCAATTGACTCGAATTTGCATAATCAAATGGCTTCAAATTAGCGCTCTTTTCTATTGGTAGCCAAGCTCGATTAAGAACCAATTTAAATAATGGCAAATGTTTGGTTTTTAAGCGCAAAAACCGCCGAGCCGCGTAATTGTAAGTTGCTAATAAATCTTCAATCGAGCTGAAAATATTATTCAGCAATTTTAATGAATTAGATTTGCAATTAATTCTTACTTTCATTTGAAAGTTGATGCATTCTGGATTAATACACTTCTACAGGGTGTCCCAGGAATATTTGCAACTCGAAAAATACAATAATTTGTTCTAGACAGACATGGGAAATAGCGTCAATTTTTCGGACAACTCAACGGCCTTAATTTTTTAAAATCGAAAGCTGTAAATTTTTGCAAAAAACCCATAATACTTTTTTGTTCCCCACTGCATGTAGAATTAGAAAGGATTTTTTGTTTGCAGAAAAATCATTGGCGTGCACCGTTTTTCTGTCTGGAAACTATCAAATGTTAAATTTTGCGTTGATTTTCTTATGTAATCCAAAAATGTTCAATTTTTAAGTAAAACTTTAAGTAAAAAATGCAAGTCTGCAATAAAAAATAAGCCTGAAGACCGAAATATTAAAGACAAACATTAAACGCATAGAAAGTGTCCTCACTCAAGATTGTTTTCTTCAGGTACCTCGAGCTTGAGCGACAGTATCCTAGGCCTGAACGAGATCACAGAAAACAAATCGCTATGGAAAATGCTGGCTGCTGAGTTTATTGGCACACTGATTTTGGTCACAGTGGGTTGTGGATCCTGCCTGGGAAATCCCACAATTGTCCAGATCGCCCTGGCTTTTGGCCTAACAGTTGCCGCTCTAGTCCAAGTAAGTCTTGATGTATTTTGAATGAAATTTTCAGCATTTTTGTATTGAATAGTCGTCTACAGAATGCAAGAGTTTCCAGTTTCTACCTGCTATCGATTGGAAGTTGCGAATTTTTGAAGCAGCGGGTGCAGTTAAGTGTAAACTTTCATTGTCAAGCTAATATTCACCAAGTCAGTAAAAATCTATAGATTGGGAGATTTCAATGGAATTTTTCATTGAAATTTTCAGCGCTGTTACACTCGACCTTCGTCGGCAGAGTGTGAAAGTTGCAAGTTGCTACTTGCCTTAAGTTGAAAGTTGCGAATTTTTGAAGCAGCCGATGCGGTTGAGCGAAAACTTTAATTTCCAAGCTAATATTTCCGAAGTCTCTAAAAATCTGTATCAAGGGTGATTTGAATGAAATTTTCCGCTGGTTGAAACGAACGTGTTCTCTCCAAAGTGTGAAAGTTTCCAGTTTGTACTTGCATCAGATCGGAAGTTAGGAATTTTTTAAGCCGAGGGCGCAATTGATTGTAAAAGCTGATTTCGCAGTTGAACATTTACTCACTCTGGAAAAGTCAGGATTTAGACTGCCTTAAAGAAAGTTTTGACAATTTTGAGCATCAGGTCTTTCCTGTAGAATATGCAAAAATCAAGTTCCGGCTTGCTGTCGATTAGAAGTTAGCATGTTTTGAAGTTGGGAGTGACGGTCTGTGAATACGCGCACATTCAAACCAACATTTACCACGACGTAAAAAAATCAAAATTTTGGTTCACTTAAATTAAATTTCCACCAATTTCAGGAAAAGGTTTCCTCTGTAAAATGGGGAATTTTCAGGTTGCCACTCGCTCCAGGTTAAAACTTAGATTTTTTTCAAGCTGTTAGTGGAATTGTGGAAAAACGGCTATTTTTAGGCTAAAACTTAGCAATTTGGCAAAAATCAGGATTTGGTGCGACTTGAATAAAATTTTAGACTTTTTGAGAACCAAGGTTCTGCTGTCGACCCCTAAAGTTTCAATTCGCTGGCGATTAGGCGCCAAAACTTATCAATTTTTCAAGCTGTGGGTGCCGTCGTGTAAAAATCTTCATTTTCAGTGGGCAAAAATAAAAAGTTGGTGCAGTTTAAACAGAATTTTCTGCGTTTGAATACTGCAGCTTTTTCTGTAAACTGTGCAAGCTTAAAGGTGCCATTTGCTCCAGATGAAAAGTTAGGAATTTTTGAAACAGAGGGTGCAGTTGTGGGCAAACTCATTTTTTAGTTCAAACTTAATTCAGTCCCCAAAAATCAGCCTTTAGGGCCACTTAAGCGAAATTTTCGCCATTATCAGAGTGAATAGTCTTCTACAAATGGGGAACAATTGCTGATGCTGTTTGGTCTAGGATAGAAGGCGAAATTTTTCAAACATTACCTACCGCTGTGGGGAAACGTTCAGTTTTGATCAGCTCGCGAAAAATTATGAGTCGATGTGATTTTAATAGAACTTTGCCAGGTTTTGAACGGAAATGTTGCTGATGGCCTGTCAAAATTTCAAGTTGCTGCTTGCTCAGAGTTAAAAGCTAGGAATTTTTATGCCACGAAGTGTGGCAACCTCCATGTTTAGCCCGACATTAATCAACTGGGCAAAAAATCGGGATTGTGCGTGATTTTAGTGAAACTCTCTGCACTTGCGGGCTCCACTATTGTCTATTGACTGGGAAAGTTGCCATTTGCTATTTAGTGTGGATGAAAAGTTGCGAATTGTTCAGGTGGTTGCTGTTGGGTTAGTGTAGAAATTTTAATTTTTCGTCCAGTATTCACTAAGTAGGGAAGCAGCAGAATTAAGCGCCTCTCAAAGGACATTTGCAACCATTAGGCGCAGGTTGTCCCTATGGACTGTGAAAGTTTCAAGTTTCTACGCGGCCTGGATTAGAAGTTACAAATTTTTCAAAAAAAAAAACGCGCGGTTGTCCACCAACTTCCACAAACACTTTTAGTCGATATAGATTTGCATAAAAAGCTTGAAAATCGGTTCGAAGGAGCGTCGAAACCCTGTAAATTATCAAAATCGCCGACCATTAGACCAATGTCATTTCAAAGGGGGCCCAGCTCGAACAAGTTGCATGCACCGCGATTTTTCCATGAAGTTTTAATCCAATTAATGCCCGAATGGAAAAATCAATCTGGCTGCCATAATTAATTTCATTCACCTTGTACTACCGTACACACAAGGTGCCTCCATGTCTAGAGTGTCCACTGGCCGGCCGACCGACCAGATCTGAGACTGGCAGGCAAAGTAGCCCGTGGTCAAATACAAATGTGTGCCACATTACACAACTGGACGCACTTAAAGCGCCACATGGGGTCTTCGGCTTTTAAACCCGTTGCGGATATTTCTGAATTTTCCATCATTTGATGTCGATTGATCGATTGGGGAAGATGTGGCCAATTTGGGGATTTGATGGCCCATGGGGGCGAGGGAAGATCCAGGGGGGGGTCATGACCCCCCCATTCAATTCTCTATCCAACGATGCCAAAACGAATTCTGTGGCTCGAATGGTTCTTGAGAAACTTCGAAAAATGCAGCGTCATGTTCAGGTGGATTTTGCAACTCAAAAAAAAACCACGCAAAGCTAAAACTTCTTGAATTCAAGCGTTTTTTGAGAAAACTGCCAACATTTCCCCATCCATGGTTCACTTTCTGAAAAGGCCATTTATTCATCTCTAGAATGATGTACAAATGAGCGTTCTTGCTCATTTTGCCTACGAGAAATGATCAAAAATGGGACGGAAAACATAAAATTTGGGCATAATCTTG